CTTCTTAAAAACTTTCTTTCCTTTTAATAACATGTGTTTTATTTTTATTGTTTCGTTTTATTATATATATGTTATAATTACTATAACTATAATAATACAATTATTATAGTACTATACAGTAGAGTACTATATTGTATATTATACTATAGTTATTATATAGTATAATGATTATATTATTCCACAGTATAATTATTACAGTACTGTAATAATACAATTATTGTTATAGGTTTTATATATAAATATAATACAATGCATATATATATTTTTTTGAGATGGAGTCGTGCTGTGTCGCCCAGGCTGGAGTGCAGTGGCTCACTGCAACCTCCGCCTCCTGGTTCAAGCAATTCTCCTGTTTCAGCCTCCTGCGTAGCTGGGACTACAGGCACCTGCCACCAGGGCCCGGCTAATTTTTGTATTTTCAGTAGAGACAGTGATTTATTTATCTTGTTGGTCAGGCTGGTCTCGAACTCCTGACCTCAGGTGATCCACTCAACTTGGCCTCCCAAAGTGCTGGGATTATAGGTGTAAGCCACCATGCCCAGTCAAAATTGCATACAGTTTAAGCACCCAGGTGATGACCTGCTGCAAGTGGGCACACCCTAAAGCCCCTTCCCCGATGAAAACAAAGACATTTTATGTCCCTGATAAGTTCCCGAGCTGCCTTTTCCAACCCCCACCCATCCCAGGCGATCAGTGCTTTCTGTTGCTACAGAAAAATTTTCCCTATTCTTAAATTTAATGGAAAGATCCATAAAACTTTTAAATGAAAATTTATGGAAATGCTATGAAAAATGCCAGCATGCAGAATAGCTACTCTTCTGGATCATGGGCTTCTGCTCGGTATCACGGCTGTGGGATGCCTTCCACTGTAGGGTCCCCAGCAGTTCATTCTCTCTATTGCTGCGTGGTCGTCCATCCCATGAATTTACTCAATTTGGTTACCCATTTGCCTGCTGACCAACACATGGGTTGTTTCCACTTTGGGCTTTTATGACGAAAAGATTTGTGTACAAGTTTTTTTATGAACACATGTTTTCATTTCTTTGGATAAATAGCTAGGAGTGAAATTACTGGCCCACATGGTAAGTGTAAGGTTAACTTTATAAAGAAACTGCAAACCTAACTTCCAAAGTGGTTGCACCATTTTACATTTCAGCATAAACCTGGGAGAGTTCCAATTATTTCACTTCTTCACCTACATATGGAATGGCGAGAACTTTTTACCCTTCGCCATTCATGTGGGTGGGAAACAAAATCTCCTTGTGGTGTTAATTTGTATTTCTATGAAGGCTAACGTTTTTCCACAGGCTGGCAGAACTGGACTGCACGGTTAACTTTCAGTTACTCATGGCAACTGGGACCTTACTGCCCACCTGGGTTACAACTTATCAAGAAAATGTCTGAGCCAGAAAGCACTCAGGAACCGAGTGACAGAGGATGGGGTATGTTCTGGAGTCACCCACACTTCCTCTTCCTCCATTAGTAAGGATCATGGCGTATTACATGTGAGGTTTTGGAAATCAGGAGAATTTCTGTAAATCAGAAGAATCAAAAAGCCCATACCTGTTATTTTCCTCCGCATCCACGGACATACGAAGAGCCACACAAAGAAAGCGAACAGGAGGGCGACACCAAAGGAAATGAGGGCTATGGCCCACATGGGGAGAACCAGGCCGAGCACTGGGAAGGAAAATGAGAAGCAGTGTCATTACGGGAAACTTCTACAAGGTTAGACCTCAGGGCAGTGGACTTCCCACTCCCCAAATCGAGAATGAATCGCCTGGATTTTGTAGTAAATAAAACTCTCAACCAAAAAAACATGCTGTACTTTTTGGAGTAGAAAGCTGTATGTTCAAGACATCCTATATCTTGCGAATATGTGCTTAAACTAGTTAGTAAGCTAATTATTAAAATTTTACCAACTGGGGGCTGGGTGCTGTAATCCCAGCACTTTGGGAGGCCAAAGTGGGAGGATCAGCTGAGGTCAGGAGTTCGAGATCAGCCTGGCCAATATGGTAAAACTCTGTCTCTACAAAAATTCAAAAATTAGCTGGGCACGATGGCGCATGCCTGTAATCCCAGCTACTTGGGAGGCTGAGGCAGAAGAATCGTTTGAACCCAGGAGGGGGAAGTTGCTGTGAGCCAAGA